ATGGCGCGAACCCGACTGGTAGGGGACCAGGAGCTGATCTCACTCACTTTGATTCGTTGATTGGGGTTGAGCCCTGCTCTATGTAGTTCACCGCCAGCAGCAAAGAGTGTGGAAGCGAGCGGGCTCCTCCGAAAGTCACATCTTGGGACTATTCAAATCTCCCATCGTGTCAACAGCAATCTACGAAAATGCGGGGCAACTGCTGTACTGCTGTACGGCAGTCCTGCTGACGACGCCACCAGTGCATCCTTTACAATACACGACACAACGGAGGGTTTCTCCCCGATATTTTGTCGTTGACCCAGTAGAGAACTACAGGGGATGTATTGTAAAATGTAAGTTACCTATACAGATGTTTTTGTACTTAGCACCAGCTGGCATCACTGGTATAAATCATCAGTGTATAGACTTTAAATTAGAAGTCTCGAAGTAAGTCCAGTACCCAGCCGGTTTCCCTTCACTCCCTGAAAAGACTCCACCACATCCCGTTCGACTGTGGGTATATCTCGAATGGGTAGTCTTTCTGTGTGTGTTTTTATTATTCCTTAATCCTGTGGCTACAGCTGTGGTGGACTGCTGTTTTCCCTGCCAAACTACAGCAGTAGCACAGCAGCAATGCCGTTTCACTTGAACTACTGAAGTAAAATATACATGTGCCCACAGCCAGTTGTCTACTATCACACCGGTAACACAGCCGCAGGAGAAGACTCGGAGGGATTTTCTGGGTGAAGTCTACAGCAGTATAGAGGGCGGACATTCAGGAATAATAAATACCGGTACACACACAGAAAGACTACCCATTCGAGAAATACCCACAGTCGAACGGGATGTGGTGGAGTATTTTCAGTGAGTGGAGGAAAACCGCATGAACCTGTAGTCTAGAGGACCCGATCATGTTGGTGGGCATCAAGATCTACACTGCTGTGTGTCAGGCGGATGCACAGTACACAAGGCACCAGCAACAGTGGAGTCTTGACTGTCGGGGGCTTGAGAAGGAGTGTCCTCCAAAATCAATATCTCACCTTGCCGTGGGAGGCGGCCTTGTTGTCGTCGTCGTCGTTGTGGTTGGTGTTGTTATTGTTGCTGTCGTCACTGCTGTGGGCAGAGCCCAGCAGGAGGATGAGTCCCGCAAACAGGAGGAACCGCGCCTTCATGGTTCCTGCGAGATTCATGCTTGTGAGTAACGGAGACGCAAGAACGAATCGAGATTTCCGGGGAGTAGACTAATAATCATCACCACCTACTGATAGTAGACCTGGTTGTATCTTGTTCACCGGCAGTTTGGGCGGTTGGGAAAAAATTCCGCTGTCGAAATCGGGTATCTCATCAACGGCAAACCGCACCACCTGAAGAAGAAGCAATATCAGGAGAGTACGGCCGACGAACGTGAGAGGGAACTCGGGTATGGATATATTTAGGTAGAACAGTCGCCCTATCAAAGACCTCCGCCTATCTATCTATCTTTGCCCGCCGATCTATGCTACATGTAGTTGAAACAGGGGCGCCCGGACTGGTACGACTATTTCCGGGAGGAGAGGAAGATATAAGTATTGTATGATCGCGCTTGCTCTCGTGTGTGTTTGTGAGTGCCCCGGTCATTGCAGGATCTCCAAGGCATGCGCGCAACGCACACAGCAACAGTAGAACAATGATGGTGACATCGCGTGCAACATGGCGAATGACATATTGCGGGGCCTACTACTCTCGGCACGGGCAAAAGCCAAAGATATCGATATCGAATGCGTGGTTTCACGATTGTCCAATGATGGGTTGGACCTGTCCCCTGC